TATAGATATTATATATATAGATATTATTTACTAAACAAAATATGATGAATTTTATATGATATTATTATATGTAATTAAAACTTACTTACTTTCATTTCTTTAACTGCCTGTGACCCAGAATAATCAAACTCCCCTGCTTGTCCAATAGAGAGACCTCCAGAGCCCAGGATGAGGACTTTAGCTACCTACATAGTGGAACATAAATGAATAGCAGATTATTTATAGAAAGAATATTTTAAAATAGACATGAGGACTTTGTTATTAATTAAAATATTTGAGGTTAGCAGAATAAGAAACACGATTCCTAACAAGGAAGGCCTCTGACACGCCTACATTATGATATCTGTGCCTTTATATTGCCTCCCCTGCACCTCTCTGATATACCCTGTGGTCTTTCTTGTACCCCGTCACATACAGAAACAAGGTTTAACAATGTTATCTCTATGATTATAGCTGCTAGCAATAGCTATGCTTATATCAATACTTCAAATACAAATTAAGCAAAAACCCCAACCTTGTATACAAGGTTGGTTTTCTGTTCAATTTTAATTAGTATGATGCTTTGTGTAAACTATTTAGCTTTGTAGCCATTCACAGCCGATCTTTACAAAAAATAATTTCTTTTTATACGCAGGCAGCAGGTGGCACTATCAGGTCCATTGTATGTGTTTTTAGGTTTTCTTATCTACTTTGTTGAAAAAAAAGTATTTTATTTTTTTCTTAAATCAATAGCTCAAGCTACAATTTACACAAACAACTGGCAATAACTAGCTTTCCTCTTTCCTCTTCTCTTCAGAGTGCTCAATACTGACATTTTTAAACAGAGAAAGAAAATAGTTTTGTGTGCTCCCTTTACAAAAACTTTAATGTTATGTGGAATGAGTGTATATTTTCATCAATGTCTGATTGTAAAACAGGGATTGTAACTATGTAGATAGAATAGATATAAAACATCAGTTTAAATTAATATAAACTTTAAAACTATGTATAATAAAAATCGACTAAAAACCTACATATTTTCCCTTTAAAGGGGAGTGTAAAGATCTACATATATTCTTTAATCTCTATATATGTTTGCGACTATAATACATTTATCAAGCGAGGAAACCGATATTGTGGAAGCACTGAGTTTCTATCTCTTATAATGTATCCTGTGTTACCAGTTTGACTGCTAATGTGGAATTGTGGTTGTTGTGCTTGCTTCATAAGACCACTTCCAGATAGAACATCATTTTCCCTCCCTATGACAAGGTAGATTTTAATACTGAGTGTTGCTAGTTGCTAAGTATATTACCAAGCCAGGCATTATACTCCAATATATTTCCTATCCAGTATATCTATCCCAATTTAACAGGTTTCCTTACATCAATCCGCTTTGACTGCAGACCCGGTTTGGGCATTACAGATGTCAGGGTGGTACCTTTACCCTTCTTTATCAGTGACATGAAGACATCAAATAGAAACTAAAATGAAGAAGAAGAAAGTAGTTCAGTAGATGATCTAACAATAATTGATGTAGTAAGTTTGTGGAGAAACTAGTAATCCTGGTGACTATTCCCAGTAAGGGCATAATAATCCAATTATAACCATATTTAATGCTTCCATGTACATTGATGCACTGTACCTCTGTGTCAACAGGCCCGGGGTTGGCCTCAGGGTGGAATTGTGCAGTGAAGATTGGTTTGGTCTCATGCATAATCCCCTGTGGAGAGAAAGATAGATGAAGAAATATATGTTGTTCTTATTGAAACAGTATATCCTCAGGTACTAAAGTCACCTCATTGCTCTGGTCATTGATATTTGTAAAAAGTGGTTTCCAGCCTGCAGGTAGGGAATTGCTATCCACTCCATAGGCATGGTTCTGAGCAGTAATGAAAGCTTGTCCATTCAAGGTGTTCATAACAGGTTGGTTTTGCCCTCTATAAAGGAAAAGGGTAATATGTTACAGAGACTAGTCATGCTGGCACTAGAGAGTAAATGTATTTCACATGTTTCATGTTAATATCTTAAACCTACTTAAGGTACAAGTCTAAGCTTTTATTATGTTGTAAACTTCAATAGCTGTACAAGTATGAAGCTTACTCACAGTGCTTATTATAGCACATATGGAAGCAAGTTTTTGGCATTCTCTGCTCTATTTAATACACTCCCTTGTTATCTCTCGTCTTGACTATTGTAACTCTCTCCTCGTTGGCCTTCCACTACACAGGATATCCCCCCTTCAGTCTATCATGAATGCAGCTGCCAGACTCATTCACCTTACCAACCGCTCAGTGTCTGCATCCCCCCTCTGCTAATCCCTCCACTGGCTTCCAATCGCCCAGAGGATAAAATTCAAAATATTAACAGTCACCTATAAAGCCATCCACAACTCTGCCCCCGGATATATCTCAGACCTTGTCTCAAAGTATCACCCTAAACGTCCCCTCCGCTCATCCATTGACCTCCTGCTTTCCAGCTCCCTTGTCCACTCCTCCCATACTCGCCTCCAGGACTTCTCTAGAGTCTCTCCCATCCTCTGGAACTCCTTACCACAACCTGTCCGTCTATCCCCCACCTTGACTGCCTTTAGGCATTCCCTAAAGACTTATCTCTTCAGGGAAGCCTATCCCACCTCAATCTAACCACTGAACCTTCACATTCTCAAATAATTCATTCCCACAGCTACCTCATGTATCATTTCCCCCTCCTCTTTTATATTGTAAGCCCTCAGGGGCAGGGCCCTCCTTACCATCTTGTCTTGAATTGTATTGTAACTGTAATGTCTTCCTTATATTGTAAAGCGCTGCGCAAACTGTGGGCGCTATATAAATACTATGTAATAATAATAATATTGAATTTAGTCAAAGTATTTCAAAGATGGTCTCTGCTATTGTATGGAGGATCCAATGCATTTATTTCATGGTTTTGGATCTCAGTCCTTGCCAGGCTGTGAAAGTGCCCTCCAAAAAAAAAAAAAACAACAATCACTGACAGCCTAGTGTAGATACCAGCGAACACTCAGTGTAAAGCTTCACTAAGCTCTAATGTGGAAAACGCATCAAAGGCTTCTTGCAGCGTTTTCTGGCTTTGCTGTTGCTTAGGTTCTTAGTCAAAGTGTTTCTTTAACAGTAATTGTTCACCTGAGTATTAGAACAGGGAATAAAAGAGATAAATTAAATGTGAAAAATATTTACATGGAGGTTGTAAACTATAAATGCCATAAACTTAGATGGGTCCTCTCTATCACCAGCAGGATGCTGGAAGGCTTTCAATGAGGATCTAAAAGGGCCTGATGTTCACAATAGCTCCTGAGGGTTGGGTAAGGTTTCGCTTTAGGACAAATCTTGGCTTATAGTCTTCTGAATTACCCTGCCGATGACTGCTAACAATCAGACAAGATCAGGTAGAATATTATATATCCAGTGTATTAATCAAGTTCATTCTAGAGGTGAAGGCAGAAGACAAGCAGTGATAGACAATTGAGTAGGAAGACCAGAAGAGGTGGCAGACAAGGAAATGAAAACAAAGAGGGAACAGATCAGTAGCAGTAGTTAGAAGACACACTAAGCCCAAACCAGGATAAGGAGATCAGAAAGAGATATTAGAAACAAGTCAAGTTGAAACTGACCTGAAGTACCAGATAAGAGTAAGTACAGGGTAGTTTTTAAACACATTTTCCCCAGCACTGAATTAATTTTAAAATTAGCACTGATTAATATCATTTTTTTTACCCAAGTATGCATTGTATATATATATATATATGGCTGTATTATGCTCTGTGCATCACAGTCCGTGAGTCCCTTTCAGCAATAAGCATAGACAATAATGAAGAATTCTGCCAAAACTCTATTTCCCAAAGTACTCTGTTACAGTAATTTATGTCACTTATACTGCCCAGCTTCTGCACATGTGTCAACATTTTGCATGCCTGCAAGCATCCAAGGCCTACAAGACCATCAGACTAAACATAATGTACTCCGTTTCAGATTAAGGCACAACTCCAGCCAAGTTTTTCAAAATTCTTAGTTTTAGATAGAGCGGGGTAGGGATAAAACCCCTGTTACGTTTTTACCATGAAAAGGATCAGATTGATGGGCACCACACTGAACAAGTCTCAGAGTTCATAAAAGGTGTAATATTTAAAATTTGGTTAAATGAATAAAACTGCCAATGCGTTTCAGGGTTAAAACATATATCCCTTCTTCAGAGCTTGACGAAATGCAGTACAAAATGTAGGACTCAGAATATTGATAACAGGAGAAGCCATTCTGTTTTGGAAGTATTGTCTCTTGGAGAATATAACAGTGAAGAGCAGTAAGCCTATGTTTTTACTGTGGTCTGTGTATCCATTGGAATAGGGATTTTGGAAAAATCTCTCCACTTGGGACACAGACTGTAAAAACAGTATATGCTTTGTTTTTAAGTAAAATGGGAAAGCCTTAGATCCTCAGTCAGCCTATTATTATTGTCTATGTTTTACAACCGCTCCCCTCGCCCATGTCCTGCTGCCCAGGATATCACATGGGCAGGTAATAAGGTAAAATCTTCATAGCAGAGTCAAAAACTGCAAAGAAAACTTAGCAGAAATATTTACTCTTTTATATCTAAAAATGATTGGCTGAAGTTGAGCTTTAACAAAGAGTAGTATAATAATGCGCACATTACTTTCCCACCAGTTTCATCTAGAAGCTCTTCTGGACAGGTTCTGACACATCACTACTTGCCCTCGACTAAATGAATCACTTAGGGGTCTATTCACTAAGCTGCCGTAGGCAGCCGAGTGAACGACCGACCTGAAGCGAAGTGAGCCGAACGCTGTTGGGCTATTCACTTCAGGCTGGTAAGGCTGATTTCAGCCGTATATCGGCTGAAATCAGCCCTACATCGGGTGGCTTTGTGTGGCTTCGAGTCGGCCGAACATGCTCAGCATGTTCGGCTGACCCGAAGTGCAGAAGGAGTTCGACTTAGCCGATCCAACATCTGGATCGGCTAAGCCGAACCTCAGACAGGCTACTCGCTGCTGTTCAGTCTATTCTTAGAGATGCCGAACAGCAGTGACCGAGCTGAACAGAAAAATAATTACAAAAGAAGAAAAAAAAAATAGAAAACGATTGTGCGGAGCTAGCAGTGACAGCTATCTCCGCCCAACTGTTTTCTATAGGCGGGCGGTTCTGCTGCTGTCTGGCCAGCTTCGGCTTTCACCTCAGCTCAGTCGAGCCGAAGCATATGCCTTTGGCTCGACTGAGCTGCCCGGCCGACTTCAGGAGCTGTACAGGCTATACTAAATTGCCCGTACAGCAGCACTTCGTTTCTACTGAACTGAAGGGGTCCTGGGGCCGAAGCCAGCCGAAGGATCGGCCAAAGCTACGGCTAGATCCTTCGACTGCTTCGTGAATAGACCCCTTAGTTATGTTCTGATACTAATATTTACTGTAAATATATTTTGCATTTTCATTAAAATTATATTAGGACACAATATAGATGTTCTCAGAATATAAAAGTGACAGGTGTTAATTAGCTGTAATCACCATTGGAAATTATTTATATGCATGTACATATTTCCATTTATGTATTTGATGTATGTCTGTTATTTAGCATGGTTTTTTTTACGTGCTTTGCAGCAAATTTTTATTTTTGTAATATTTACTTCATGAAGATACTTACCTCAAATATTTAAATGTAAACCTCATATAGTCACTTTTATTACTTCAGCATCCTACCTGTTAGCCATAGGCAGCCTGTATGTCTTGCCACCAGCTGCCAAAGCAGCAATTTCATTCCCCTTACAGATACCAAACACAGGCTCAGGGCGGTCGCTCTGGAAGACCTAGAGGTTAATTAGAAATAAAATTCAGCTTTCCACATGTACAAAATATGATAAATTGGTTGAAATACTTGTGTGCAGGGCTCACTCACCTTCCTGAGGTTTTGTATTAGAGGCTTTGCTAGCTCTGGGTTTCCAGGGCCACTTGTAATTAGGAGACCATCATATTCCATCTTAGAGAAGTCATGATTCCAAGGGACAAGGTTTACCTCTGCCCCTCGCTGCAAGAAGAAAATGAAATGCATTAATAGGGAGCTGAAGTGGATGTTTTTCTTTATCAAGTACTTTGAACAGATCAAGGTCAAATGAACACTTTTTTTCTTCACTAAGTGTTACGGAACATTTCTGACACTATCACAATGTATTTTTGGAGAGCTCTTTCCCTGTTACGCAGCTAAGTGATTTTCATTTGTTAATGCTGTAAAGCATCCATTAGTTGTTACATTGTGATTGTGTGGCTGTATGGTTGGGTATACAATATGTTTCAGCATAAGACATTTGTTACACTGGGAATTATAAGTCCCTGTTTCACCTCTCTGTAAAATGTGGAGAACAGAGTAAAGAATAAAATAATAAAGAATGTAGGATAGTTTGGCTTACAGGGAAAGGATGATGTATTTTCAGTGATAATGGCACTGGAAATCTTTGCTTTAAACTTTGAATAGGGTAGAGGAGGTTTAGAATCTTTGCCGTGCCCATGTTGATGCTCCCACAATGCAAATTTTCTTTCTCTCCCTGCCCCAAAGTCACAACAAGTAGTCAGTGGAAATCACCTCAAGTGAGGAATCCCATCTGGATCAGAACTCCACAATGGAAGATTTCCCCTCACCTCATGTGCCCAGTGACAGATGTAAAATTATAGATTTTCCCTGTTTTCTACCCTGGCGACAATGGTAATCAGGACAGAAAATGGTAGAGAGAGAGGCTCCAAAACAGAGACATCGACAGCAATAAAAACCTAACATATGGAGTAAGATAGTCATAGTCTTCCCATATGTCATAGTCCCCAGAATAGTGATAGTAATCCTGTATGCAGCTGGAGTGTCAGAAAAACTCAGAAGGAACTTTAACAAACCTTGTATGCCTGTGTCTTCCAAGTCAAGCAATACATTGAAACAGAAGCTACATCCATAAGACTCAACATCCAAATACAAGCAAAGTAACTAGGCATATGCAGTGCAGTTTAGTGAGTAATGCAAATATCTGTTCATTCGGGCCACAAAACAACCTCTCAAAAAACAAATGATCCAACATAGGTGATAGCTGTGTGAATATAGATGCTAGGGTATGTTCCTGACACTCATTAAAACTGATGATAATGTCTTTAACAGTACAGAACAGTCCAGTTGAATGTGACTTACTACTAGTAGCTATACCATGACCCGGATAAATGAGAGCATTCATTGACATAGTGACAGAAGATCTTCTCTTCACTCTATGCAAAACTAGAAAGTAAAGTTTTGGCTGGAGTTATGTGTACATCATTGGTTTTTGTTTAGGACACCTGGGTTTATTCAAAACCTGGGTGTTCCATTTTACAAACCAAAAAATTATTGGGCTGCCTAAGTTTCAATAGGAAAGTATGAAGGAGAGCAATAGATCAACAACATATACTGTGCTCAATATTTGGATGTGAGCAGGCATCTGGAGATGCTTGCTATATGGAGCCCCCATAGAATTTAAGGTGAACCCAGAGAGTCCCTTTAACAACATCTGAATTAAGATATAAACCACATAGGAAGTGCATTGTTTTTAATGTGTAGGCGGATCCACAGGTTTGCATTAAAGGAAACACAGCCATTGTGTAGCACTTCAAGAAACAGAATCTGTGTGTAATGAGCAGATATACAGTAGCTGTCCCCATATACTAATGTAATTACAAACATTACATATAAACAAGTCTTTAAAACATACATTGCACCCTTTTCTTTACACAAGGGGACTAGGCAGGGGTGCCCACTATCTCCCTTACTCTTCAATTTAGCCCTAGAACCTCTGTCCAGATCCTTGGCCATTTCCCCATTGTTTACGGGATTCAGGTCTGGATCTCATGACCTTAAACTTGCACTATTCGCAGATGACATAGTTCTTCTCCTCTCCGACCCTTCCTCCCAAGTGCCCCTAGTACTAGCACATATCCACCATTTTGGCTCCTTTTCGGGTCTAAAAATTAACTTCCACAAAAGCGAACTCCTACTGTCATCGCCCCACGTCCCCCTAGATACCACCTCATGGCCTCCAGAGTTCTCAGTCCGGATCCAGAAACGTTCAATTATCTACTTGGGTGTCCATATTTCTTCTAGAGCTACTGATCTCTACCATCTGAACCATCATCCGCTGATCGCTAAAATTACTCAGGAGCTGCATGCTTGGCGGGACCTTCCCCTCTCTATGCTGGGTAGATGTAATTTGGTTCAGATGATTAGCTTTGTGAGACTGTTGTACCCCATGCAAACGATCCCCCTCCTTCTCAAACACAAGTTTATTACATACTGCTTTTTCAAAATTCATATGGAGACGTAAACGCCCACGTATAGCATTACACAAACTCCAACTCCCCTCGGGGTCCTTAGGAGCGAACCTCCCTGACACTAAATCATATAACCTGGCGAGTTTATTTCGGTACATCAGAGATTGGTTGCATGACACCTCCTATTTCACGAATATCTCTCTAGAGACCAGCTTAGTGGCCCCCTGGTCTCGACAGGCATTCTGCATACACCTGTCAAGGCAATGCCATCACCCCTGAAAGGTAATATTCTCTTGCGAGACACCGTAATTGCCTGGAGGGAGATCAGAAAGTTATTTAAGCTCCCTGGGGTAATATCCCCTCTGATGCCTCTCACTTCCACACCAGCCTTCCCTCAAGGGAACGACTCTAAGGTCTTCTCAGAAAGGCGATCCAGAGGCATCAATAACATCCAAGACTTACTAGATTCCAGAGGTCATTGTAAACATTTTTCAGAATTGCAAACCGCCTACGGTGTCTCAGCCAAACATTTTTTACCATACGCTCAAATCTCGCGATTCATAGGTGAACACCTCCCGGGGCAATACCTGCCCTTGCCCCCTTTCAAAGACTTCTGTCCTCTCCTTCACAGAAAATGCCTCTCTCCTCCATTGGCCTCACTCTACGTTCCTCTATGCTTTCTATGTCCTCTTGCTCCCTTGACAAACATATCGCCAAGTGAGTCCTTCAGACTCCACTTGATGACACAGAGCAGCTGCTACTACATGGTTGGCTCTCACTCAGAAAAGCCATTATTTGTGAATCCTGGCGAGAAATCCAGTTTAAACTGATCCATAGAGCATTCTACGCTTTCAATTTCCACTACAAAAACGCCCCCCCCAAACTGGTTGACCTCCTGCCCCAAATGTCAGCTTCCATCCCCAGACTTAGACCATCTGATCTGGTTATGCACCCGCATCCAGTCCTTCTGGTCCAGTGTCCTATCATACAGTAATTCCGTTACGGATTCCCAGAGGTCACTCACACCCGCGCTCTGCCTATTCCATGCCTCCACCTCCGCAACCACGCCTACCCTCCGAGACCTCTCCCGTTGGGAACACTTATGTATGATAGCAGCAAAAAAGGCTATATTAACAAATTGGCTCATTCCCTCCCCCCCTCTTTAACTTCCTTGAAAGACATACTACACAAATTATTGTCACTGGATAAATTGGACGCACACCTCAATCAAACTCAGACGGCAAAGTTCTTCCGCACTTGGACCCCGTTTCTAGTGCCTGAACTAGACACAGGACGACTTAAAGAGGTGATTCCTTATTCCAAGACACAAAATGGTATCTCACCTCCAAGGTCGCTGGCTCTTTGGGCGCACTAGATGTCCTTTAACGCTCCATCATATGACCCAAGCACCAATACTGCATCTATACCATCTGTAATCTGCCAGTCCAACCCTTTATTGTGTTCCTCGCCCCGCCTGCCGCCTACGCTATAATTCTTGTGAAATTATTGTAAACCTGTTTGACACTGTTATGACTTTACAGTTAATTGGTTGTCTCCAGTTATTGTTATTATTCCTGTATCTATGATTCCATTTATCTTACTGTGGATTGACCTGTTTGTTTAACGCAAAAAAAAAATCTTAATAAAGATCACATGCTGAAAAAAAAAAAACATACATTGAAGCAACTGTTTACAAGCTAATCTCTTTTACATTAACTGCATCTCTAAACAAAATAAAAATAAAATAAAAGACAATCTCATTGCTAATGGCATTCATGGGTATTGATTTATATAAAGTGCAGATAAAATTGTACAGTTTCCCATAGCGGCCAGTTTCTGGTTGGATTACATTTTCTAATCTACAAATGCACACTGTTGCATGGTATGTGAAAAGATCCTGTTTACAAGTCCATTTTCTTGGCTCCAGAAAATATGCACTGTTACTAGCAATCCATAAACCTTTGTAGCCTTTCAGTTTTTGTGAACCTTTTTTCCAAATGATAACTAGGATTACTTGGCAACAGATGGTAGTAAAAGAATAGGTATTAGTGGAAATCACACTACTTCAGAGTCTATAATCACATACACAAGCGTCAGACCAGTGATTCTAAGCTTCTATAGTGTTGCAAACCTACTATTAACATCCCCTGTGGCCTGCTCCATAGCAAATAATACATCTGGTCAAACATGGTCACAGTATAAAATGTGTCATTCAAAAATCTCTAACCCTTCACTTTGGTCAGATTGCCAGTAAAACTTGTTTTTTTTATGGTGATAACCTCGACAGTGCTGGGTTCCAGTTCAAATGCTGGAACTGTAGACATTGTTATTATACAAGACCTGTGATTGTGTGCATTCTGATACTGTATAATGAATAGTGATACAATGAGTAATATAGCATGCAGATTAAAGGAAAACTGTGAATATGAAAATAAGGAAACTGCCATTGCTGACTCAAATGTTGTTTTCAAATGTGCAGGCTGCCCTTCCAATCCTGGCTACATTACCTTATGAGCCACTGACCTAGAACAAGCATACAGCCAGGGAAGTCTGAACATTCTGAATTCATATTTAGTGATGAGCCTGGGCTTGGTGTGAACCTAATTCACCTGAATTCACCCAAGCCCCCCAAAACTGTAACCGATATAGTCCAATGAGTTGTGGCAGGTGAACTGGTTTGCACCAAGCCCAGGCCCATTACTATTTATGTTCTGCATAACTATTCCAGGGCAGTGGTTCAGTAGGAAAGGTAGTCTGGATTGGGAGGACAACCCCAGAGCTTTTACCTTTAAAAACAGGTCAGCAACCTTTGGTGCAGTTAAGTAATAGGCCAAGGTATCTTGGCCGTGTTTGTGGGAGGAGTTGCGGCGGCTCTCCTCCCCTTAAGAAGGGAGACAGGGAGCTTCAGGGCACGTCACAGCGAGGTCGCGCGTGACCCTCCCACCCTTCCCCAGGTTCTATCACTTCACTAGAGCGTGCCCACTTATTTGGCACGCTGACCACAAAATCATGGCACACATCAGGTTGGTATCAGTAGGGGTCATGTAGGTTCGGAAGCCTAAGTAACTCTGACCACAAACTTATTTTATAGTCTCGCCATCCACCCCCACCCCCCCTCTTCAAATGTTATACTCATCTGTCCATAAACCAGTAAGACATCTCTGCCTAAATTGGACAGTTTATGGTCAAAATCCTCCTCGCTGGCCTCATGCATGTGCGCTGCACTCTCATTCATTCTTATGGTGAGTTATGGTGAGTTATGGTTGTAGAACATTTATATGAACTTTGACAATATGATCCATTGGCACTAGGAAGAATGGAAATGTAATAAAAAGGGAATATCCAACTCAACACAGCATATAATACACTCACCTTTACCAACTGACGGATGATGTTGTGCTTTACTCCACAGTCCACTGCCACAATTCTGACAGAATTCCCTTTGCCAAATACTTTGGCTTCCTAAAATAACATAAAAAGTGACTTTTTAAAAATCTCCATTTCTCTTCCATGCTCTTGCTCTTGTGTGAAACCAATTTAGTTAATTTAATATATGCCTAAACACATGACGATAATCTAAATATAGTTCCTGAATCCCCATTCATGTTTAACCCTAAGGATTAGAAAGTAAACAAAAAGGACTTTATGGGCTACCTTTGATGTGACCATGGTAATGCATACACTGGGGTTTTTTTCCACATAGAGCACCAGCAAGACAGGATCCAATTAAAATGGGTATAATTCTTAACTAGTTTTAGAATTTTTTTCTGGTTGATTAACTAAAGGAATGGACACCGTTAACTTTTTAGCAAATCCTCTGCTTTGTGAAAACTCACTTCACTTTCATATTGGAGCAACCAAGAAAGAAGCCCTGTCAAAGCTTCTTACCCTACTAAGAGTCTAGAAAAATTTGCAAAATACAAAAATCCTTTAAAGCCTTTCCAAAAATAAGGCAGAAAAGTTCCAATCGCCAGACCACGACACAAAACAGTAGCACAGAAATAGAGAGGATCTCTTCTAATTATGTTGGGTATACCCTGTGTGTTCATTGAGATGGCACAGAAGGGATGCCAAATAGCTAGCAGAATTTCTACTGTAGAAACTGTCAAATAATTGTTTATATGAACCAAGAGAACCACTTCAGAACAGTAGGCTGGAAGAAGACCAGAAGTGAATGGCCGTATCGGCAATGGAGCCACAATGAGGAAGTCAGACGTAACATTACAGAAGGAGAATAAACTAGGGGAAAGTCTGCAATAACGTGCAAGTATGCAGTGTATAATATTATGGCAAGCCTGAATGGCAAAATAAAGATTATAATTGGTTGCTATGGGTTACAGTGATTTGAGAATCATTTCTTGTCTTATCAAAATTAGCCCATTTCCATTTTGCTGCATTTCCTATTTAAACAGACCATTAGGCCTTGTAGGAAACCTCTGATTAAGTGTGACACCTAGAACATCAACTGGAAACATTTTATAATCTCTACATCCAAACTTCGTCTGCTAAAATATTTTGAGTCTGTTTTATTGGTATGAACAGCACTTTAGTGAAAGAGGCAGAAGCAGATGTTAAGAAATCAATTTTTGGCTCTTGCTGAAAACAAATGTACCTCACGCTGATTTATATTAAGCGGCTGTTTATCACTGAAGCAGACAGATTACTGCGTCCGCTAATTATTGCCACTGGTAAATTTCATTATTGTCAAGTTTATTTTACTAGATGGCTTTAAGAGCCTTCAAGCTTAAGTTATGAACATTCTTCCTGTTGCGCCTAGTATCAAGTGAAAATGTGTCAGCCTCTTAATGCATTCAGAAAGCAAACCTTCCTAATAAACCATGAAATTACAAAACAGGGCCCTTTATTAAGGTGACTGTAAAACAGGGATGATTGAATGGGTTGTCTTCAATACAGCCCAAGGCAGGACAATGCATACTAACTATATGAATTTGCTATTTTTCGAGATGCTAAGCTCAAGAAGATTTTAGGGTAATTACATGATGTCCTGAAATTGCACAATATTTGACTTTACATAGTTACATAGTATTTGAGGTTGAATAAAGACATTAGTCCATCAAGTCCAACCTATTAGGATCTCATTCTAGGAGTACCCGTACCCCTGTATATTACGGTCCCTTAAGAAATCGTCCAAAAGTTTCTTGAACAATTCCACATTATTTGCTGAAATCACCGCCTGTGGCAGTGAGTTCCAGACCCTAACTGATCTTACTGTGAAGAACCCCCTTCGCCCCTTGTGCTGGAATTTTTTTTCCATCAATTTTAGGTGATGGCCTCTAGTTTTTGTAACGGAGTTAATTTTAAACAGTTTATCGCTAATGTTGCTACCACCATTAAACATTTTGTACATGGAAATCATATCCCCCCTTAATCTCCTCACCTCTAATGTGAACATGTTTAAATTTAGTAGCCTCGTCTCGTAGCTCTGGTCCTCCATACCCCTAATTAGTTTGGTTGCCCTTCGCTGGACTTTTTCCAACTCAAGGACATCTTTTCTTAGTACTGGTGACCAGAACTGGACCGCGTACTCCAGATGAGGTCGAACCAATGATCTATAAAGTGGCAAAATTATAGACTTGTCCCTGCAATACATCCCCTTTTTAATACAGGACAAGACCCTGCTAGCTTTGTTTACAGCAGCCTGGCACTGCAAACTACCTTTCAGTTTGTGGTCTACAATGACCCCCAAATCCTTCTCCATTTCTGACTTCCCCAGCGGCATACCCATAATTGTATAACCCATTTGTTTATTTTTAATTCCAAAGTGCATTACTTTGCATTTATCGACATTAAACCTCATCTGCCACATTAATGCCCACTCCCCTATTTTATCCAGGTCCTCCTGTAATGTTATAGTGTCTAAGTCCGTGTCTATTACCCTGTCTGGACTTTGTAGTCCAGACTGCCGGTAAAAATTAAATATATTATAAATTAGTCATTTAGTAAATTCCTTTTTGAATGTCTGAAATCTTCCAAGGTCCTTATGTACAAAATACTTACAGCTCACCTTCAGGGAGGAAAAAACCCTTCCCACTCCCACTCCATCTCCCTGTACCCAGTCTATATATTTTAATCTAAAAGCCGCAAAATATGGTCATGTGGCAGGCCAAGTCCTAGGTCTTTTTTCTGCTTTGTAGACAGGGTCCTGCAGCATAAGGAGTGATGGAAAAATGCAAAGCGTTTAACACAAGACTGTTCAGCCAGACCAGTAAAAAAAACAGAGAGTAGCTTTAGACTATCATTTGCTGCTACCAGGAGATGCACACCGGAGATCACATTGACAGCAGATTCAGTTGAGATTTTTTTTTAAAACCATATTGGACCTAAGTGCTGGAAGTCACAGATGTAACTTTTTTTTTTTTGCCCAGGGTTGGACTTTAATATGTCTGTAATAGTCATCTTGTCCAGGCCAGTTTGAATCTTTCCTGTGTGTGAAACTGCCTTTTTCTCTCAAAATGTCATTACTGGTTACTCCTGAAAGGATATAATTCAGTTCCTATGATACCTGGAGAGCTGCAATTTTGGAAGCCGGTAGCAGTACAGTATACTCTAGCAAATTACATAATCGGATACCATACTGCTGGTTGACTGATTGGGTAGTGCGTCCCCCCTGTTTGGAGCTAAGTTCAAGAATCGCAATCCTGGCAAAAGCATGATGTCAATCATGGTTATGAAAGGAAGGAACACATGAGTGGAACAGAAAACATGAATTTCTTTCTGGGTATAGTAGGAAATACATAGAAGGAAATTTTAATTTAGTAAATATATATATATACTTTCTGCACTGTGCTGTATATTATACACTCCACATTGCTGCACTCTCTGCACTGTGGTTCCCCTACTGTACAGTACATATCCTGCAACTGTGGTTTCTGCTCAGACTAACCAGACAGCAGATTGTGCTCACATAAGTCCTTCTTTGGTCACACTTTTGCTTGTGTAATATAAATGAAACTTCACACTACATAAATTGTTATCATTTTTAACTAGTGACTAATATTTTAATTATTTCACTGACTTGCTCCCCAATATCAGATTTGTCAACATTTGGTTGCATATCTTAAATTCGTGATTATTGTAGATTAGAATGAAAATCAAGACTATTCCAATAATACCAAGCATAGAATAGTTATGGATCATGATTTATGAAGCTGAAAATGTTTTTTACCTTTGTAGACACTTCTGCGATCAGGTTTCTTTTGTTTGGGTCAACAAATTCCACTGGCTGCCCTTCAAATTCGATTTTACCCAGTACAGTTCCCTATATAAAAAAAAAGAATTCAGTCACATTTAATAGGAAAAAATGGTTATGAATAAAGGTGCCCATTGGTTGGGATGATTATTATTACAAGACAAATATGGAACCCCAAGACATTCTGTACCTGATACAAAATCCTAAATTGAAGAGAAGTCACCAGCACTCCATTGAAAGTGAAATAGCCAGCTTGGATTTCTTCACAATGCATCACATGAGTTAGTAAATCCAAGCTGGTTATTTCACTTTCAGTGGGTTGCTGTTGACTTCTCTTCAACTTATGATTATAATGCATGGCGCCATCTATTGCTGTCACTACTAGCACCAGTGTGAGGAGTACAGCTTAGAACTTGATCGCTTTGTATTGATGCAAAATCCTAAAACATGTAGAAAAAAAGAGTGCAGACGCCATACAATTACACCTGCAGAAGTTCTTTTTGCAGATATCTTTTTAAAAAAGCCTGTCATAATGCTGGACAATTCAAGCTGAGCATATGCAGATGTTACCTGTACTGAAAACCCTAAAACACTTATGGTGGCTGAAGTAATATGCACTCCTAATATTGTTTTGAACATTTTTAGGCAGACTCAGAGCTGAAACTCAAGTGACACTCTATAGTATTCTACTTTGCTCCTCCCCTTGCAGCTATATAAAAGGTTAGTAGAGATGTGAGAGGAGGGGCATAGGAGCTTGACCAGCACAGACAGTAATTAGACACTCCTGGAAGAGAAGAGCCCTATGACGTGCAAGGAGAGAGAGGACTGCGCTAGGGAACTGATTTTTTCTGGAGTAGTCAAATTTAGTTAGAAGCACATTGCAAGTGGATAAAAAGGAAAGGTAAGAATTTAAATTACTTGATTTTTCTATGCTTTTACCTGCAATTTTGCATGTTAGTGACAGGGTCTATTTATGGGAAACCAAAAAGGTTAAGTACTTTCAGATTTCAGAGTACCTTCAGAGCACAGAGTACCTTCGAGTACGAGTAGGTCAGTTTTAGCTTGCGCTATTGAGCTCAGCAAACCACATACTTTTTACAACAAAGGAGAAAAGAAGACCCAAGTAAACAAGTGAAAAGAAGTCTAAAGCTCCACCTGCTGACCCAAAAGGAGAATAAACTGCATTTTATATTTACCAGCCTAAGAAAAATGAAAATATAAAACAATTATCCACACTAGGAAAGAAATATGTAAACCCCACTACAGATTCCCTTTAATCGCATCCCATTGTTACAGGTGTTTGTGCACCCTGATATTCTTACAGGTAGACAATATTGCCGAATCTTCATACATGCAAGCTTCTTTCATCTGAAGGGGTAACTTGATTTGCATATTTTAGAAACATTGGGTTCTTTAATTTGAGAAATAGGTTATAGCAGCTGTCAGTTACCAATACTGCTTGGAAAGGCATTAGCATACAATAGAACAGCAGGAGTCCAAGGTTAGTGTTATTTTATTAAATTTAATATTGCAGCTCTCTGGAAAACAGTTAACACGTGAAACTGCAGATAAGCTAACGAGTTTAATTATTTTCTCAGCATAAAAATGAAAAGCAATGTTTGCAAAGCATTCTATTATCACCTTGGGACATGAATTATAAAACAATGTAATAGACTTTTTTTTTTTAAAGAAAATGTAAGATATATATTTAGGGCCCAATTTGTAAAGGTTAAAAGACTGATAGTTTGGCATTTTGCTCTAGGAAATATAATCTCCGAGAATCTCACTTATCTTATAAAGCAGCTATTTGCAATTTTCCACTTATTTTATTTAAAGGTGAAGAAAAAACAGCAACATTTACTTTCAGATACACATTTTCCAATATATGCAGACTTTTTTTGCAAGACTATTTATCGTGCATATGCATGTGCACTGTAGTGGTACCTGATAGACTGCTAGTTCTGCCCCTCCCTCTCCCAGTCTTAGTGCTACTGTACAGGGGATTACATGAGGCTGACATAAGGCAATGACAATAGTAACATTCAAAAATACATATATTGATTCTTTAATTAACTGCATAACTGAATCTATTTGTTAAATATCTACCTTGAGTTCAGCTTAAAGGCGGAATGTTGTTTTGAACCATTTAATAAAAGTGTGTTGAGTTTGGAAAATTAGCACCTCCTTGTGATGCTGCTTAATGGAGGTGCCATTCTCTGGGTGGGAGTACTCCAGGAGTAGTGTACAGTGAGAATGCATCAAAGGGATGGTGGTTTTGTATTTTGCTAAAAGCAACTTTGTCACCCCCAAACAATTCCCAAAGCCATTTCCTGCAACAGAAGAGAACGTACACTTACCTCTTCGGCAGCCTGTAGCTCCTATCTTCTCTTAGTTCAAGCACTGCAGCCTCTTCTCTTAGTTCAAGCACTGCAGCATTCTCCACTTTCAGGAGTGTTGGGTGCTTGTGTCCCCTTTCACATTCTGGGATTCTAGCCTTAAGTCCCTACATCACTGCAGAGTTGTTGTTTTTTTTACTTGGATAGAGTAGGGGTTGGTAGAAATAAAACTGTCTTTTTCTGTCTGGACGTCCCCTTGAAGAGATTTTCACTTAACTTCCTGTCATAGAACAGTAGTTGATCCCCTATTAGGCAGGAGTTTTAGCATTCTCTTCTGTATTCAAAACTAAAAATATTTTTTCCCCTTAGTTACACTTTACTGGTAATTGGTATGTTATGGGACTAGAATAAGTGCACTTTTTTACCCCCATCCCCTGACCTAACAGATTCCCCCCTTCCCACCCTCAGCAGATGCATACTTACTTTGATCTAATGTCCATGGCCTCCATGGATTGCTTAAATTCTGTGCTGCAAGTCTCTCTCTTACTCTTTGATGTAACTAACAGTACAGACCAATAGACCTCTATCATCTACCTCGGTCTTCTGGAAAGGAGATGAGCCCCACAGACTTGTATTGGGGCTCTTCTGTGCAGGGGTGGCTAAGAGAGAGAGCACTTGCGGTGTGGGATGTCAACAAAGACAGGAGGCCGTGGACATCAGATCTTGGTAACCATGCATCTGTGGAGGGGAAGGGTCGGATTTCTTAGGTCAGGGGAGGGGGGCACTTTGAAAGTGCACTTTGAAAAATAACTTATTATTTCTTGAAATACCAGTTCAATCGAATACTCTCTGTACGACCACCTCCACTTTCCTAGCACAAAACCTCTTCCTGAAAGATAACTTTTCTATGGTTCTGTTTGGCACATATCCCCACGTAAGTTAAATTACCAGTCACATTCCACCACACTCACGTACGCCCATTGGTGCTAAATATGCCCTTGATGATATATTCAATGCACGCTACACCAGAAACTTCTCATTTACTACTTTACCAGTTCATGTTAACCTGTCAACCATTTAAACATTTAAAAGTAAACATCTTGCTTAAACTCATCTGATACAAAGTGCCTCTAATTACCACTAATTAAATACCTTGTGTGCACATCTCTGATCTAGTTTCATTTTGTTACTAAGGGCTCGGCATTCCATATGGAATTAGCCCTGGCTCCTACCTATAACCCTTCCCAATAGCAGTGCCCTTACTAGTCCTTAAAGTGTTCTAATTAAATGTGGAGTGGGAAGAGGTTGAAAGTCAGGGAGGACCTAGCCATGAAGTCAGGGCCCCCGTGTAAGAAATTTAAACTAAATCAAAGAAGCACACACAACATTGATTTCTGATAATTGTAACAGCAGACACCCAGTGATACCTGCTGTTAAGAAGAATTTTTAGAATTAAATGTTTAAAGTGGCTGAAAGGTTTGATTTAACTAAACCGACTAGGGTCTGGTCTCTTATCAATGTTCTGTTGAAAGACAAGACCTCTTCAGAAAGCCATGATAAGCTCTTTTGTCATTTTCCAGCCCTAGCCAATAGAGCAGATTATTCCTGCGATATGCATTAATATAGTTATAACTGCAATCCCACGTCACTATTTCTCCATATTCGGTCGAAAAAAAGTATTTTTGCAGCCTTATGTTGCCACCAAGATTTCTGGAATACCACTAACGTTGAGCAAGGCACATCATTCCTATTGTTTTCTCTTATTACAGTTAGCACATTTTATTATGCATTTTCAATACTCACAAATTGTTTGTACCTTTCCCACTTGCAATTGGCAAAATTAGTGATTTGTACAAAGAATATTACCTAATTTAAAAAATGGTTCTATAAGTGATAAACTGAGATTTTCTTTTCAAAACATCAATCTGTGGCTGAGAATAGCAAAATGTTATAAACATATTTATGTCTAAATATGATTGCTACTGGTGTTCTTCAGTAAAACATACTAATATCCTTTTATTAATATAGAAAAGTATGAGTACCTTATCTCTGATCTTTTTTGCAAGCATTCTGGTATCAATCCCACACAGTGCAGGAACCTAATAAGGAAAAATATGGGTTAAAACTAATAAGGATTTATCATTCGATCTTATGGAAATATAGAATAACCTTCCTGGTACCAGAAACTAATGTTTTAATAAAATGGACTGTGACAGCAATACTGGCTAATATGTGGAAAAAGTAGAGAAAAAATATGTAGACCAGAACAAACACAGCATTCTCTTATATCAGGAGAAGGACTGGAAAATATTATAAGTAATTACATATCCCATTGTTGTTGTTTGCAATTTCAACTTTTCTAGTTTATGAATTACTGTAAACACATTTTAACCAAATGTGAAAAATTGTTACAAAATGGTGGGATCTAAAAGTAGAGAGCAAATGAATAAAAACACTAAACTCTGCCTTTAAATAATGTTTTTTTAAATAGATTAACTTTCAAAATGGGAAAAGGAGGAAAACAGTAAACAAAACCATTTAGAACATTTATACATTTTCCTCTGTGTCTGTTGTGTTGTTAGTTATACAACTAATATTTTGCTCCATTACCAGGCATAAGGGCTTGACATAATTGCTAGGAGTTGAGCAGTTAGTGCACAGGTACAAGTGCATGGACCAAAACACAGTGAACTAAAATTGAATGTTACTTCTTATTGTTCATTATTTCATGGCAGGACAAACAATGCTTGCAATAAGTGCATAGTATATATGCAGTGCTAGAGTTTCATTACAGGAGGTTGTAGACAAAGAGTAATTGGCTTCCATTGCAACAACCCTATTCCACAAAATATTTTCTGGATTTAGTGGTCCTATTCTAAATTAGTATATTGCGACAATATGTATATAGGCTGATTGTACTTTGTTTTTCACTGATGATGGGAAACAGATTTTTAACAACGCTGATAATAAATTTAAAAAAAAACCTTCGATCCCGGTAACTTTGTTCTGTTCCTCGCAGTTATGAAATGTGCTGCACAAATAAAGACTATCCACAAGATGGCAATGTTGTACAAGTTGCCTATTGCAAAAATAAACTCCACCTGATGCCAGCATTGTTGAAGCTGCGTATTTACTCTTAGCTCACCAATAGAGAGTACTCACAGGCAACTGACATCTAAAAACCTTCTGTTTTGAGAAGGCTGCAATGCTCAGTGACTTAGTGGACGGCTATATGCTTCTATTAAGCCTGACTAAATCTGCTCTCTTTTTGCTTTCCAAATCTCACGTTTTAGAAACCCAGATAATGATAATGATGTGTAAAACTGCTGGAAAAAATGTCTCTATAAGATTAGGCTGTATCATTTGTTATGGATGCACAGTTTGTCACTGGAACATAAAAGGGATCATTTGCATGGCTCCACGCACTATCCTTTAACACACAACTAGAGGCGCCTATATGATAGTCTAAACAAGTACCAAATTCAGATACTATGTAATGCACAAGCCTCAGGAAATAAACAAAAACACTTCCTTTGCCTCCCCTGACTGAGCCAAATCCTCCTTCATTTGTATCTCACATGCTCCCTCTCCCAGACACTGCAGCTCACAGCGGGAGGACTTCAGCAACAGAAACGGTGCTGTCAGTCCTGAAATTAGTGGACAGGACTAGGTGTAGCCAAGTTCTGATTGACAAACTACAGACTATAAGCGACAAGCTCGTGAATCGACAGTGACAATGTTGATAGCCACATCCCCTGCAACATTTTTTCATCCCACTGTAGTGCAAGCTGGCACAGTTTCAACTCTGCTCTAAATTCAGGAGCAGTGCAGCATTGTTTTCACCTCATCACAGGAAGCTGCATTAGGTGGCCTTCAGTGGCAGGATCAGGAGGTATTTGTGGGACTATGCAGGGGGTTAAAAGAAAGCTTTAAGGGTAGATGAACTTTTATTTAATTGGTGAAGTACATATTTCTTCAATGGAAGATGATAGTTCTACTGTAATGATGAATAAGCCCCTTATTTTTAGAAAATGTGACTTATAATACATTTTAAAGAAATGTGTATTTGGTACCAAGTGTAATAAAGAATTATTTAACGAACACAAAATGAATACCCTTACAATGAAAAATCCCTAACATCTCAAACAAAGCACTCATGCATTTTGTGTGGCTGTTATAGATGTTTCTAATCTGTATAAGACATGTGTTCTTTTTTTTTTCCCTCCTGCAAACCTCAGAATGATCTGATACAAACCTTTTCTTCATGCAGCCATTCAGATAGCGACTTGACTGCCCCCCAGTGACTGTGCTCATGACTGTAATCGAGCACCAGCAGACCAGATAGCTAAATAGATTTAAAAAATGAGAAAACTCAGTAATCGCTGGTAACACATTGCTAAGGCATTATTAATTTTATTCTGGTATTAATAGCATATTCAAAATAATAGAGATATACAGTAGCAGCAAACAACCCATAATGGGCGTTTTATAGTGTTTACAATTATATTGCAGTGTGGTTGCCACAATGGTCTTTATAATGACATAAGCTGGGCCTGCACTTTGCAATACATCTCATAAAAGTGTTCAGAAAGCCATATACAAATTTTCCTTAAAAATCTCATGACACAAAGAGTGAAGCGGCATCTCTATTAAGGCGTACATGATGTCTAAATACTGCCCTTGCAAAGAGTATAGTCCTTCTAGTCAGTACTAATATGTAAATTGTTTCTATGGGTCATCCATAAAGCTGACACTGCAACTGACCATATCTGGTGCAAAGTTCTCATGTTAGTTCCTGCACACAGGAGTCACGCAGAGTTTGCATGATCACAGCGGGAAATTGTCCAAGCTGTATTTTTTTACAGTGAGTGTCAATTATTGGTTTTATCCTGGGCACTGGGCCAATACAAATAATGATAGAGAAAGTTCACAGGAGTTAGAGTACTCAGAATTGGGAAAAAAATGTGGTGGCCTTTTACCTGAATATTCTCAGACTCAATGTATTTCATGAGGCCATACGCATCTCGGGCCTTGGTGTCGGGTGCACCGCCATTTCCAATTATTGGGTTAGTAAGTGTGAGAATCTGACCACGATAGCCTGGATCTGTTACAGCTTCTACATATCTGGAGACACAAGGTAGAAAAGTAAAGAAACCTGCAATCTCTCTAGGAAATAAAGCACATTTCTAAAAATGGAGTTGTAATGTGGTTAATTGACCATCTGAACTCGGGAAATGCAGTATAATTGTGCTGTACTTTGTTCTGGATGGTCCAAGAACAAAGTGCTCAAGAAAAAATTCCTGCCTGCAGTATAAATAACGCCAATCACTAAAATACCATATAAACTGCAATATGTTAACGTAATTATAAAAGTAATTTTCAATATTTTTTAAGTCTGCAGCTTACATACCTCCTATATGATATCATGCATATGTTCTGCTTTCACTTTATCACTGGGAAATTTTGCCTCCAGTCTTGAATGTAGCAGCAAAGAGCATCTCTAACGTGTATGTGTGGGCAAAACATTTCTTTCGTTTTGGATAGAGTAGGGAATGGTTAAACTGCTGCCAGCTTATAGTTTTCTGTTTATGTACCATTGGGGTTATTTGTTTTCTCTCCCTGTCCCATAGGAATAACAATATGCTAAAGGAAATCCCCTCTTAGAGAGTTGTTCCCAGAGTAGGTGTCCCCATTGGAAGAGTTAAATTTACCTCCTGTTCTAGGAACAACTCTACAACTTACTTTCTTTCTCAGTAACAATGCTCAGCAAAACAAGAGAGTAGTGAATCTTCCCAACAGGGACAAAGACAGCAATAAAAACTAGATATAACCTCTCCCCACTCTATGCAAAACTATGCTATGCAAAACTATCACACCCCAAGCACAGATGCACAGTTCTCCCACTGTATCGCCAGAATATACAATCTCAAGTTCCCACTGCAGAGATTCCTCACTCAGAGTAGAACCCACAAAGAGGGTTCAACCGCAGTCTCTGCCCCATCCCTTCTTCCTGCAGAAGATTAGTTTCTCAATGCTTTTCAGTGGAAGGCTCTTTGGCTCCTTTTGCCTACCTCACCATAACCTGTCATGTTATAATTTCTCATTAAAATAATACCTGATGCCTTTGCCATGGAGGTTCTTGTTCCGGCACCAAGGGTGACAACTTCCCTGTACCTTACGCTGACTCCCAATTGGTCTTCTGCTTTGTCAACCTATCACACAGTCTCCCATTAGACAATATGAGTGGCCATGCAAAAGGACATTGCTCAGGCATTGGCCATAGTTGTCATTATGACAAAATACAGCCTGAGAAATAACTTGCAATGGTTGTAGAGTGCATGCATGTAGACAGGAAGTGGTTGCAAGGAGGCTGCTGGAGATCACTATAATATACCATGCTCTATTAAAGTAAATTATGTTCAGTTAGGATTATATATCCCTGCTTTCAAAGCACTAAAAAAGCACAAAAACACAGGTCAGTTGTATGGTGTACCTGCACCTCTTCGTACCCTTCTGCAAAATTTCAATTAAAAAAACTATTGTTCTTTTTCAAACCTTACAACCATCTCCTTCATCTCTCCATGCTAACTAACCATTAAAGTACCGCACAGGCGCTTCTTATCTGCATAGGTCCTAATAGAACTGCCATCTACATGCAAACCTGCAGATCAGTCTGTTTATAAAGCATTTATCAAATGATCAACATCCTCCAATTGAAGGAAGAACAACCATAATATGGGTAAGATGGTCAAATCTTTCTTATGATACTCTGTTTATAACTGGGATCTAAATATTTAAAAAATATGAAATGATCTAGAATAAATCAAAATTAAGACAAAACTGTTTGCCTTTTTGTATGATGGAAAAAAATAATCTCTTAGACTAAGCAGAAATGTAGGTTTTAGTATGGTCAGTTCCAGTTTAAAGTATTTGAAACAATTATTTTATTAAAAGTCAGAATTTTAGGTTTAACTCACCCGCCCAATCCAGTGTTAAAGATGACTTCACCGGCAACTGATGCGGGGTGCCCAAAAGAGTATCCTTTGATTTTTGTACCATCTTCAAGCACTAAATTAGCAGTCTGTGCCTAAACAAAACAAAATGTGTCATCATCAGTGCATAGTTAATAATACAGAGTTTACAGTGTATATGAGTTCATAGACCCATTCTAAACAAAAAGAAAAATGCATTCATGACACACTTTTCAATTTGGTCACAATATATACATTGCAGAAAATAACAACATATGAAAACACTGATATATGAATAGGGTTTGTGTCAGAATGTACATTAGTGTACATGAGTATTTAATTCATGATTAGGTCTTTATTATGATGACCTCAATCTCACAGACATGACAACTCCTTTTCAATTTTCAGATATTAAGCATCTGGTGTTACCAGACCGAAAACATAAGTCAACGGAGGTCTATTGACTTTCAATGTCAACCTCCATTGACGTCCGTTGCATTTGATTCTATTGCATTGCTTTTTTTTTTTTATTATCTTTATTTTAATTACCGTGTCTTGAGTGGACACATTTCTATGTATATTTTTTTTTTAACTTGCATTCCGTTCCATTGACATTCCATTTGACTTTGCATTACGTTGCACTGAAAAATGTAGAGCATGCTCTGCATTTTTTCTGCGCACTGCAATGCAACGCAGAGGTGTGAACTGGTTCATTCACACCCACACATTTTTTGGGTTAACTTCCATTGACATCTATTGGCATCCATTGAAAATCGGATGCTTACAGATACTAACAGATTCGGTGTGAATAGGGCCTAAGGTAGTGACATTTTAATTTAAAAAAATCAATTGTTTGATGCAGGGCGGTATTTATAAAACATTAGTAAATTAAGTAATGACTGCACTTAGATCGGGAGTACACTGTACTGCTGATACCTCTATTTATGACTCTAGCATGGGTCCAAGTTCTACTTTCAAATGGTATACATTTTCAGATGCTCTACAATGTGCGGTATCACTTTTTCAGTAAAAGTTAGCACAAATATATCAACTGGTTCAGGACATGTTTTACAACTTGTTTTAATGGCATTTTGTTTGTATCACTTGTATCACTCATATAAGTCTAAGGGAATGCAAAACCCGCTTGAAACAGGTCCAAGGCAAGTTAGAAGGGGGTCAACTGCAGATCAAATTCACCTAATAATGAGTCCTGAATGATCTCAGAAGAGTCCCAAACTGATGTCAAAGCATGCTATCAACACAAGCCCATTGACACAGGCCTTTTTTCTTATAAATAAGAAATTTGTCATCACTGATCTTCAAAGGAATTTTCATACAAAATGTAAAGCAATTCTGTGCAAACAAAATTAAATAAAAATTAAATGTATTTTGTTAGGTTGATGTATTTATCTTCATTGTCTTTTTTTATTTATTTAGCCCTCCCCTGATGTGATGTAACACATGAGGTGAAACGGGCTGCCTACCACATCTACAGTATATTACACTAAAGAAATGCATGGTTGTATATTATTGTCCATTATTTTTAGAGCGATTTTAGACACGTAGAAGCAAAAATCACTATTTTATACTTAAATATATCACATTTAAGTTAAACATTATGATTTAAATGTATTAAACATTATGATTTAAAAACATGAGTGTAATTAATCTCCTACTTCAACTTTACATAGACATATACAATGCAAATCTGCCCAGCAGTGACCATCACTGCTGGTGGGGCCTGGCAGCGAGATGCCGGGTGAAAGAGGAGGCGGGGCCAAGGGAGATGCGGGCCGGCTGGTGGAGGCTTTTGGCGGCTCGAGGCAGGAGGAAGAAGCTTTGAGCCGCTCCAGCCTGGAAGAAGCTGCATGTGGCTCCAGGCTGGAGGAAGAAGCTTTGAGCGGTTCCAGGCTGAAAGAAGAAGCTGCTGGTGGCTTCAGGCTGGAAGAGGAAGCTGTGGGTGGCTCCAGGCTGGAGGAAGAAGCTGCGAGTGGCTCTAGGCTGGAGGAAGTAGCTGCATGTCCTGGAGGCAGGTTGGGGAGCTGCAGGTAAGAGGAACAGCTTGTGGGCAGGGAAAGGGACCCTGCACAGCCCACCATAGATCCTGCACAGCTCACCTGAGAGTCTCTGTGCAGCATCTATGGTGGGCTGTGTGGGGTCTTTGGTGGGCTGTGCGGGGTCTATGGTGGGCTCTGCGGGATCTATGGTGGGCTCTGCGGGGTCTATGGTGGGCTCTGCGGGGTCTATGGTGGGGTCTGGAGGGACTCAGGTGGGCTGTGCAAGGTCTATGGTGGGTTGTGCAGGGTCTATGATGGTAGTACACCGCTGCCTGATACTCCAAAAGGTTCAAATAGTAAGCAGAATAATCAGCTTATAACTAATAATATACCCATGACAGGGGATTTTTACAACTGAGAAATGAAAGATTGTCCAGCTCTAAGTCCTGCCCCCTATGTTTGCACTGTTTCTGTTGTTTGGTCTACAGTGCAAACATCAGTTGCCTTAACCAAACAAGAGAATGATAATTTTCTGTGCACAGTTTTGCAAAAAGCCCAAAAAAGTACATTGATGTTTTATTTAAGCTAAGATAAGCTGAGGATTCCCCAAGTGCAACTGCAACCTAAAGCTCAGCAGGCTATTATTCTGAAAGCCTTTGGTTAACCATCAGCGCATTTATAACGAATGTTGCTGCAGTTACAGATGCTGTATATATTAATATACACAAGCTTCTGTACTGTATACTTACAACATGTGTCTTTGTAGTGTTTGTTTCTCTCAAAAAAATGGGAAGTGGGAGAAAACAGAAAAAGGAACATGACAATGATGAACAGAAGGGCCGTTTATGGTATACTAATGCTACAAGTACTATGTACCTTACAGAACACCTGGGGAAGTTGCATTACACCATGTGGAGAAACCTTTGTCTACACACAAATTGTTCGGTCAGTCTGTGGACATGTTTGATGCTCAGACAGACCTCATCCTTAATCCAATAGGGGGCATCAGGGTAGAAGAAGTAATATGGGTGTGCAAAACAGCCTGGTTGCTGCAGAGGCACCCAATAAATGCGTGTAGGCCCAGAAGGGTGGGTAAAACAAAACTGTATTACGTTAGGTATGTGTTTTTAAATTTTTGTAAACCAATACGTTAAGGTAAGAGTGTCTATAAGCACTTCTGCTATGAACAGGCTGTTTTACACACCTATACTACAACTTGTGTTTATCTACACCCAGTAATAATAATATCCCCCAAATGTGTATATATATATATATATATAT